GCGAATATTAGTCGGCATGTTATACAGAACAAGCGAAAAGCTAATACCCATTTTCACAACTTCGTGAAATATGGACAGCTTATTTGCAACATCGAAGGTGCTTGAAATGATTCAGCGTTAACTACCTATATATTGTTAATGCCTACTTAAATTTCATGCTTGCAACTGACGTAAAATGCTTTGCGCAAATTACCTGGAGAACCTTACCATTGCTACGTTTGCCACAAAGTAAGTTTTTGACATAAAGGTATAATGTACGATACTCAAGAACCCATTTTCCTCGAAAGCATAATTGGACCGAAAATAAGTAACTAATACACTAGTAGGAAAAATAATGTTATTAATATTTCCGTTGCCTTACGAGCATCACATTAAAATTTAGTTCCATAATGCAATAAAATACATACCATATGGTAGGTAAATTTACTACAGCACACTGGAAATAATTTATCGAATGGAAGCGGACTAGAACCTAGAAGAGTTGTTTGAATAAGGCACTTTCCACTAATGTTAAGAAAACCTCCAGTCAAAAACGGATGAGCTGCTGGATAAATAAAAGTGCAGCTGGTAAACTGTGCATAAAATCAAGCAGTAATTAGTTGGTAGCACACCATGTATACATACAAAGGCGTTAAACAAATATTCGAAACACTCATTGCTGACTAAAATCTACTCCTTTACTTTCCAAAAATTTCGAATTTACTCGCTGCTTACTACCCCTCAATATTCTGCATGCAATAAACATTCACATGAATAAACGGAAACTTGAAGCATTTTTAGTTTTCAGAATAGATGGAACAGTTTCACATTCAAAGCTGCTTCGCTACGACTGATATTATATTTAATGATTAAATCATTTTTAGATGCCGAATGTACTAGCCTTTGTATAATCCGACATTTCATTTCGCCCGCTCAATAAAGACGGATTTTGCGCAAATTACGAAACAATCTCTCCACAACATAACAGACCGCTGCTTTGCCTGTTAGGTACAAAGGGCGTTAACTCTTCTAGGGATATTAAAAATTCTCATAAACCCTAATTACGGCTCTCAGAACAGAATATTTCCCCTGATTGCTAGCTCCACTTACCGCAACTACTACGTGAATAAAATTCCATTAATTCACTTGCTGAATTGCAGTCGATAAGATGAATGAAAGGGGTTTTAACCAGGATTACTAGACAGTTGAACAGTTATATTTCTGAAAATGCATCATTGCATATTGCGGATAAATGAAACATGACAAAAGTGGTGCGGCAAAATTAAGATGTTATACTGACGCGCCATGACGCACGCCACAATCGGTGATACACGCAGAAAATACCACCACTCCTTCGGCAAATATTACAGCTAAACACTTATATCAACTGCTATGGAATTTTCGTTAACATATTCATTTAGTAGTGCGCCCAAGTTGTACTATTTCCGAATGACATTTTTGCATTCTCGGTAGAAAGGTTCAATCTTAAATTTGAAATTAACACTTGATTGAGTGTTTATCATGCAAATCAACAACGTGTTGAACTTCCATATGTACAACAGATCATGCGCTTTGGTAAATCCGCCATTTCAAGCTCTAAGCTATTATTAATGGTGGATGCAAAGCATCACAGTTTGTATCGTCATTTATAATGCCGCAGTCCTGTTTTTACCAATTTGCTTGCATTCAAAAGTGCTAATATGAGATAGTGCTAGTTTCAACTAAGCAACTGATGACTCAATGATCAATTCGCAGATACGACGGCAAGCGCTTTTGATTCAAAACCAACTGGTCTGAAATGCAAACAGGATACTGCAGCTATGCCAGTCAGTACTAGCATAACGGCAGTACAGGTGCCTTATTTATGGTCAGGCGTTAACATAAGAGGAAATAAGATATAAGTTGCAGACAGAACATACAATATCTTGGAAAGTCTCTCATACAATATACAGTAGAGACGCTCCAGGGGAAAAGCGAATATATATATATACAATATATACATGAAACTGCTAAATGGTCGCAAAATACAAATCATGGTTTGGAACCTTGCACGGGTCAGTTCAACATCGAGATTACTTTAACTTCACCGAGGCTTTGGTATTTGTCTACATGAAACTCAGGAACATTTCTAACTTGAACTATACAGCATCTAGACAACGGACTGAAACTTGAGTTTAGAGTCGCTAGCGAGTCTTTGCGGTTTAAACCACCCTCCTTGAAAGTCAGGCTGCGTTGACGAAATAGTTGCTGAGTACTGTAATACATGTGGCTGAGGAGTGGACATCAAAACATTATGCTGCTTTTGTTTTTTAAAGGGCAGATTGTCCATTTTTTGAGACATCCGATGCTTTTGCTGTTCTTTTGACGAACTGGACGCAACGAAACAACAGGTGTTGATAGCGCCTAAAACAAAATTATTAGTGTAAAATAATAGCACGGCAAAAAAGAACAATTTTCATGAATGTCCATAAGAAATCACTAATAACATAATGCTACGATTAAACACAAGAGAAAATAGCAAAATTCTCCATAATCCTCACATCTGAGGTCGAATTTTCTGCACGAAATGCACTCACAAAATGAATTACCGAAATTTACGAAGAGAAACGACAGAAATTTGAAGTAACGACCTGCATCTGAGGTTTACTGCGTTGATGTAAAGACTCAAACCAACATTGCTTTCAGTCTGTGAAAAATCAATGAATCTTCATTACGTCCGCTGGCTTACGAGAGAGTGTCGATGACTGAAGAAGCGAACGGAGCATTTTAGAGGATAGGCTTATGGACGTGAAAATCCATTATCAGTCGGGAGATTCAATAGTAGAAGGACCGCCAATTTTCTCCTGAATATAGTCGCTTCAAACAGGACAATTATAAAAAAAACTCTAGCTGCCAGTTGCTGTAAGTGCGATTAAACATTTTTTGGCAAAAGCGAGAAAAAACGGCAAAAAAGCAAACAAAAAAATGCGTATAAATGCACATTAAACAGAGAAAAGCATTAAGTTTAATTATCATAGCACAAGACTAGCCAGAATTAATTAATTTGCGCTATAATTAACTACGAAGATAAGGTGAGTCAGAGAGGACTAAGTGGTGGTGGTGGTGCAGAATGCAGCGCAGAAGTGTAAACAGCTGCAACATACCAAGCCAATATAAAACAAACGCCGTCAGTGTTCAAAGACGACAACGCAAAACTCCGATGGCG